TCTGTCTATAGAGGGCCTCATCCGCTCGGTCTTCCTAGTCGGGTGGCCTGCAGCAGACCCCCACCATAATGTCACCTGTCCCTGCCTTCCCTTTAATTCTGACCCATAAGCTCTCAGTCAGCTCCTCATCCATCCCCAGGCAGAGCTCCATGCACTCCAGCTGGTCATTGACATAGAGGGCAACACCCCCTCCTCATGTCCCCGCCTGTCCTTCCTAAAGAGCCTGTATCCCTCCATCCCAACACTCCAGTCACAGGAGCCATCCCACCACGTCTCTGTGATGCCAATAAGGTCCCTCATGTCTATTTATGCTCTGGACTTCTGTCTAAAAATGGACTGTCAGACTTTCTGCTAAGTAACCTCTTTCTATTACCAATTGTACATATGTGTGTATATAGAGAGAAACAATATACAGAATAAGTTATAAAACTCCACTGCACGCCAGTTTCCATTTATATAAGCTTAGAAGTTTGTCAGATAATTTAAATAACTTAATAATACTTCTATTTGCCAACATTATTACCACATTTAAGAAATTAAAATAATTGCCAAAAAAAGATAAAATCCATTCATATGCCTTAAAAAGTGTCACTAGATGCTGTAGACTGTCTTCTTATAACATAAAATCAAGCATATGATTGAGGGACAAAACTCAGATTAAGCCAAGCCTCACTAGTACTTCTGAATGCACTACACAACTAGTAAACTGTTCGCCCACCTAACAGGTTAACTTTGACACTCAAATACATACAGCCATATTAAAAAAAAATTAAAACACCATAGTAATTAGGACGTATTTAAAAACATGTACTCTGCTCACACTTTCCGCTTGATAGAAGATTACGTTATCTCCCCAATCAAGAAGGAATACCACTAGACCGAACAGTAAGGAAACCAAACTTAGAAGCATGCTTTCAGATTCTGAAATCTGAAGAAAAAATTGCCAAAGGCTTTAAAGAACGACACTCAACATTAACTCATTGAAAAGAAGGAATATATTAACAAAAAAAATATTGTAACTGAATGCTACATTGGCAAATACCTAGTCTTCTCTGGGATGAAAACATTAAGTCATACTTTAATGACTTATCTCTGTGCAGCAGAGTGCGGAAAATGTAGCGTTAAAAAACCTAGTCAAAAAAATAATCTGATCAAAAGGGGTGATATTAAGGCATTTTAAAAAAATCTCCTGTTTTTAGGTACTATACAAAGCAGTTAATTAAACAAGCTACTTAATCGTTAGTATATCACAAGAAGTGAAGTTTATATCGAAATGACAGATCTTGTTCAACCTTTCTTAAGGCAGATAATTCAAATGTCTAACACAAAATCATAACAAATAAAACCAACAGGCATTTCTAAGAACAAACACCCCTCTCCAAAAAACAAACAAGGTATTTATTAAAAACTATACTAGGTTACAAAGATGCCAAAGATATTTTCCCAGGACAACAGGATGTTTTTTTCTACAGAGAAGCTCTTTGAAGATCATAGTAAGCCATTTTCTTCAAACTGCAGTAAACAAACCCTACTCCAAGTATTCGTTATTTGTAGATATTAAAAAAAAGCATTAACATCAAACATTAATCTTCTGTAGCACAGTGGTTTGTGTTTATATTCTGCAGAGCTGCACCAGCACTCTTTCAAACCTCATCATCAAATGGTATGCAAAGATTGCTGTAGAGAACTTAAGATCTAGCTCATAACCCAATAAATTGCCCATCAACTCCACTTCTTGAAGAAACCGACCATTACAGTCAGCAAAACAGTCTGAAGCCAAATAATTTGTCAAAATCTATACTTTGATCAAGATTCATAAATGGTTACTGATTACTACATTTACAAGAACAGATGGAAATCTCATTTCAATTATAAAAGCTGTTTTAACACAACTTTGTTTTGCAAAAGAATCTGAAGTCATACATCTATCTGGAGTGAAATTTTTTGATCTCAGAAGCTGCCACATGAAAAATCTGTGGCTTAATAGACCATTTTTATGAATAAACCATGCAAGTTTCAAAAGCGTTCTGTTGTATAAAAGGAGGATTTTTTTTTTTGCTGTTTAAACAGACTGCCATGCTAACTGATTAAAGAAGTTTAGGCTCTGATCCACCGAAACAACTATGCTCACCTTCATGTGCAGTGTCATTTGAAACCTCTCAAATGCTGGAAGGTAAGCATTGATTGAAGCACTGCATAAAACTTATCCTCCCAAAAAAATCTCTTAACAAAGTATCTTGATAGAAATGACCATCATTTAAAAGAAAAGAAGGCTTCTTTAAAAATAAAGTCCTGGTAATACACTTCAAGATTAAAGATTGTAAGTGTTAATGGAAGGGGAAACCTTGGAGCAGATAATTCTTCAAAGACACTATTCTACCTAAACTGGCTGGGACCTTTGCAGTAGTGGGAAACAGAAATATGAAAAAATTCAAGTTGATGTAGTCTGCTTGATATATTAACAGCCCTAATACAATTTAAAGAAAAATTATAGTAATATGAAGGTAATGTTGAAAATACTTGTAATAAATCATCATAAAATACAGTTATTATTTCAGAGCAAATATATATAAAGCCCTGGCTAAGCCTGACATAATACCATGCTCTAACCACCTATGGGAATTTGATTAGTAAATTTTTTTTTTCAAGGACTTTTCTTTGTATTACTGTAAGACACAAGTAGGTTGTTAAAAAAGACTCTACTATCTAGTTGGCAGTTGTTTGCCTCATGTTCGAAATAAATTTTGGAAGATACAAGTCCTGTCTTCAAAACATAATCAAGAAGATTAACTTTGAAGAAGAATCAAAATTAATTGATTTTTCTTCTTAAGCTTTCTGGATGTACATCCTCACAAAGTTCATCGTATACAAAGAAGTGTTTTAAAGTTTGGGGAGAGATTCTGTATTGTTCATATAAAATAATCTCAAAACACCAGAAACAAAGCTCGGCTCTGACACTCTACATCCTTCATAACTGAACTGATCACCTACCACCAGTTCCTTACTTTCTGCAGTAAATCTATAACACAGTTTATTCATAAGTGACTAATGAGGAAATCAGATTCATGTTATATCAGCAAAAATATAACCAATAGGCTCAAGGATTTGGAAGCACAGAGAACACATCTACGTTAGATTGTTTTGACTCTTCATTTAGGGAATAAAGGTATTTTATCCACAAGACTGATTTTGTTTCTACAAAAATTAATTTCTCACATACAGAGCAATGTTGACCCAAACATTTTAGTTAATGCAAATGCCTTTTCCTAAATTTCACAACCTTACATATACGGTGGTATTTTCTGCCACTAATTTCCAGGATTCTAATTCCAAATTCAGGTAGGGATTAAAGCTAACGAAAGGATTTGTAAGAACCTGCATATCAGCCAGTTACTCTCTAACCTCCTCTACTGCTAAGCAAAGCACTTAAGTTCCAAGCACCTTCAGGGGCAGAGACTGTTTAAGGCCTCCTTCCACCACCTCCCCCCCTTCCCTGCCCCAAGCCTCAAAACAGATCAGAAACAGGAAACCACAAAAATCTCTAAGAACCTGAAGTCAGTCTATGGCCCAAACAGCTATATATGTAAACAAGCCATTGAGAATTCATTTCACACAAACAGATCTAGGCCACCTCACAAGAAAACAAAAGCCATCTGTAATTGCAATAGTCTAGATCACATTCTACAGCATCGGTTATCTCATGAAGCACACCAGTATTAAGGGGTGTTGCACAGCATGGATGGGGGCTCATGCTAACAAACACAAAATGACTTCCTATATTAGGCTCCTTGCTAGCAATTCTAGGAGGCAAAGAGAACAGTTTTGGGTGAACAGCAGAGAAGCAGCCACACAGGTGGCAGTATGTAGATGGAGTGTACAAAGGTTGGACAGCATAGTCAAGAACTGTAAATTAAATTCCTGCAGGATTACTAAAGAACTGAACATGAAATTTAATACTTTCTTTTCAGAAGAATGTGCTAAGCAAGTTAATCTTTGCAATTTTTCACCATAAAGAATTAAAGAATATTTGCCAGGTAAAGTGTTTACAGCTTGTCTTTTAAAGCAGAAAGCATTCTTCAATATTTAGTCACAACTAAAGCAACTTCAATATTTAGTCACAAAACAAACCAGTTATTTCCTACAGCACTGTTGAGTAGCATCCATAACGTATGAAAAACCAGGTTCTAGACTAAACAGCTAACTTTGTGCATGTTGTGTTCAGTCCTTTCACACACTTTAGTTAGACCTTAGTAAATTTCCACAAGCTTACCTGCAAATAAGATGTCAGAAAGGGAAGTGGGGAGGGAGAAAAATCAGCTCCTTCCCCTTTTGCTTCTTTATTACATATACATAATCTAACTTGGCCACCTGCAAAAAAAGTTTTCCCATTTGAAATACCAGAAACAATAATTCCTTGGCTTCATACAAATTCTTCAGAAAGCTCCAATATGAGGAACTTGGTGAAGGATTTTATCTTTCAAACATGGTGTTTTCTGAACTAAGTTTTTATCTTTCCATATTAAAATAATTTCTCACTTGCATATTTTCTGATGCCATAAATGTGCTAGTTCTATAGCAATCCATACAGCTTTTCTAGAAAAAAAAATTTAGATAAAATAAAAGTTTACTGTTAAAAAACAGGGATTACTAAAATGTTTCACATCTTCATAGATCAAACCTATTTTTATTACTTGCCCAGTTTATTACTTTTTCAGTCTAACAAAGCGACTGCGCCCCTGGTTTCATGCCTTCTGTACCAAAATTCCTGCAAGTACTTCAATAGACAGCATCCCTTTCAAAGTTTTTCCTACAATGCTGCCTTCCAATTGATCTCCTTTAGGGAAGCAAAATGAGCCCGAGTCTGCAGGGCGTCTTACCATGTCCAGCTACAGCAATCTACTTGTAGAGTTTCAAGAGCTATGTGAAACAGACATTACTTCTAGCACTGTAAGTAATAGACCAATAATCCAAAGAATAATTTGCTTTAAAAAAAAAAGCCTACCCACACGGTGGATTCTTTGTTTAGTTGAACATCACTGTTATACCCAGATTATTCTCTGGATCGTCTCCTTTCCACTAGCTACCAGCACTTCCTATGTTAGAAATATGAATCCATTTAAAATTGCTCCTCTTAATCTTCTTCCATTTTTTTGCTTTTGAGCACCATCTCAATATCTGTATCTTTTACTATTTTCTATTCCTGCAGCCTGCTTTGGTAAGAGATTTACAGAAAACTTATCCCAGTTAAAAGCCTATGCACGAGTGATCAACTAGTCATAGCCTTATGCTGAAAACCCAAAAGAGAATATTAAGTAGATAGGTATGTCGGGAAAACCCCTCAAGCCTGTCTGAAAGTTTTATACCTACAAATAACTACAAACAGAACTCTTACCATAGACTAGTCTAATTCCTAGCATAGATGCAGAACTTACTCTATTAAGAACCCAGTTCTTTGAAAAGTGTAGTTTATATTAGTTCCACGGGGGCAGGGGGAAGCTAGCAGTTTTGTTCAGACATATACTAGGGGTTTTATCAGGACAGAAACATGGGTAGAATCTAATAATCACTAGAGCAGCTAAACCTTCCAGTGAAGATGTTGCTGAAAATGAAGATGTAAATAACCATTCTTCCGGACTCTTCATTTTGAGAGGAAGAGCACTTCTTGACACGAGACCCAATATGCTTATAATGAAGGCATTAACAGCAAATAACTAAGACCACGCTGACACCCACAACTAAAGCAGCGCTGAAGTTGTTTCCTTCTTTAAAGTGCAATTCTCTCCTTGGTAGCACGTCTTCAGAAAACAGTAGAATGTTTTAGGAATTGTCCCCACTTACACAAATACAGAAATTAACTGTTTTGGCAGAGGAATGCTGGAATATTCCTTCTAAAGCTGTGCTCTATTTCCACCCCTGCCTAGTCTTTTGCATTTATAGTAAAATAAGCACAGAACTCATTAATGTCATTAATTCCATCACACAAACATTAACAGTAACTTGCTCAGGCACAGAAATACTGGATTTCCCATATTTGATATCTGAATTACAAAAAGGTTAGCTGAATCAAGCCACCTCTCTGCTACTGCCAGTCAATACACTCACCTGACCAGAGAAATGTTAAACAGGATGGAAAAGAAGGAATTAAAAATAAGTTACCCTGAAAAAATACTTTAGTTTTAACAAAAATGGTTGTCAACTTTGTTCTTCATTCATTCTCTCTCTGTATGTTTCTCTTACAAGCAGGGACCTAAACCGTATATAGAAAAGGAACAGAACTGTATTTTGGAGAGAAAAACCTGGAAAGAGAGACAACAAGCAAGGACAGAAGCACAAGGGGTAGCATACTCCCTGTTTAAAAGAGTCCAAGTAAACAGAAGTCATCTCTGATGCTGAGAAGCAGCCATATGGAGCTCTATCAAGTGGCAGGATTAGCAAAACTAATTCCTTTAATAATCAAACATTGCTTTATTTCATAGTCCTCGATGCAGCATTTCATGTCCTCCCCTGTAGGGCTATTCCACATAACTCTCGTCTTCAGTCAACAAATATGATTATGTGTAACACCCTGATGAAAAAAGCACCAAGCATGAAGAGGAGAGCACACTGAAACAGGACTTCAAGAATCAACGTAGCTATGCCAGTCTCTGTGCAAAAGACCCTCCTTAGCCAATTCCAACCGATGAAAAAGTTTTAAGTGCTGCAGAGTGGAGCTTGGCAGCTTGCAACCGACAGAAAGAACATGACACCCAAAAGCACAGCAGCACACACACAAGGATAAGGAACACATCGCTGCTGGTTAGTTACACCGACATCAATGAAAGCTGCTAGTTATTTATGTAAAAAACCACTCTTTTCACAAGGGAATTTCTACACTAACTAAACTGTATAATCTATAATGCAAACTAAGATTTGCCATTACCACTTCTGTGTGTCAGCTACAACTCCATCTTATATTAGTCAGTGCTCACAAAACATTAGAGCTTTGCCCTGCGAGACTAACGTAAACAACTGCGTTTCAAACGGCGTCCTGTTACGACCCCCACGATCTTCCTCGCGCGTTTGTTTCCACTACGAAAGACATCGATTACAGAGTAACAGGTGGCTCCCCCAAGGAAACAACGCCGGCTCTCCGTGTGGGAGCCGGCCCGGCAAAGCCACGCCAGCGCGCCGTACCCGGAACCGAGACCGAAGCTCCGCGAGAGGCCG